TCCAATTAAACGGGTGATCAATGAAGTGGCCTACGAACTCGAACTCCTGGAGTCTTTCAAAATACACCCTGTGTTCCATGTCTCTCTCCTGAAACCATCCAGACCAGATTCCTTCCCGGATCGCCAATCCAGACCTCCCGAGGCAGTCACCATAGGTGAACAAGAGGAATATGAGGTAGAAACTATTCTCAGTTGCCAAAAGAGGGGGGGCCAGACGCAGTTCCTGATAAAATGGAAGGGTTATGGCCCTGAGGAGAACTCTTGGGAACCCATCCAGAATGTTCACACCCCCAGGCTCATCCGGGAATTTTTTCGTGGCCACCCGCGGTGGAGAGATCAGTGGGGCTCCCGGAGGGTGCCCATAGGGGGGGGCAATGTCAGGGATTGCGGCATCCTGTCGGCCGGCGCATGTGCAGCGAGCCCCGGATGATAGGACGCCGCGCATGCGCAGTGGGAGCCGCGGGCGTGCCTCGGGCGGCCAATGACAGCCCGGGGGCGTGTCCTGGGCGGCCAATGACAGTGCAGGGCGCAATATTTAAAGATGCCCTGCACTGTCAGTAATTGCCGCAAGGTCTATCTGAGTTCCTGAGTCCTGTACCTGTGTTTTTGACCCTGATTTGACCCTGACTACGCTGCCTACTCCTGTGTTTGACCGGATTGTCCTGACTACTCTGCCTTCTCCTGCGTTTGACCCAGATTGTTCCTGACTACTCTGCCTTCTCCCATCCTGACCCCCGGCTTGTTTGACCTCTCTACGGACTGACTTATCCTGCTGACCCTGCGTGTGACCTGCCGATTCTCCGCCTGCCGATTCTGTACCTCGCCTACCCCACGGGACCACTACTTGTGATCCATCCTGCTAGGTCCTGCCGTCCTCCTCACATCTGGCTCTCCCGGTACCAATACATCCCCGGAGGTTCCCCCTGCCACTGGTGGGCCTGCTCAGAGGTCGTGACCTGGTCCCGGTCTGTTTCAAGTCAGACCGGGACTTAGACTCCATGCTTTGGGTAGGTCTGTCAAGTGGGCAGCCAGAGGCACCACCTGGCGGATCATAACAGGCTACCTCCCGCTTGAAGGACTCCCGGTCCCAGGTCAGGGGAAGGTCAGGGTCAGGTGGGGGTTCACTCATCGAGTCCATGCTGGGGAAAGGTCCCGTGGTGGCTTCGTCTGTAGGAGGACCTCGACCTGCTTGGCTCCGGGTCACCGCCCCGATGTACTGGCATCGTAGCTCCCCTAGGTCGTTGCTGAGCAGAACATCCGCCGAGAGGCCGCCCATGATGCCGATCTGGCACTGTTGCTCCCTGAACCCATAGTCGAGGTGTACGGATGCTCTGGGGATATGATGTCTGGCTCCTCCCGCCAGCTCGATGGCGAATCCAGGGCCGGGTTGGATGGTTTCTGGCTGGATCACTCGGGGTCGGCGATGGTCAAGAAGGCCCCCGTATCCTGAAAACCGGTGGAGGATTGCCCGTCCACCCGCACGGCCTGCAGGTGGTGCTGTTTCTGGGCGGGGTATGTAGCCCCGGGGGGGTGGACACTGTAAACCCCCCCAGGAGTGGTTGTCTTCAGGGGAGCTCATCCATTCACTGGGAGGGGGATGGAGCTCCAGGTAGTGGACCAACGGGGCAAGCGGCGGCTTCGGGAAGTGGGGCAGTTGGCTTGAAGGTGCCCCGGCTGGTTGCACCCGTAGCAGTGGCGGTCCATGGGGGCCCCATGAACCGGGCTCTGGGTGGCGGTCCTGCGGAGTTGGCAGTGGTAGGTGGGGGGCCCATTTTGGCAGAGGTGGGGGGGGGGGGCCCTTGGCGGCTTAAGAGCCCGCCGTTTCCAATGTGGTTTGATGGCCAGGATCTCATCAGCCAGGGCAGCAGCCTTTGCAAGGGTGGTAGGGGCTTTCTCTCTTACCCATCCACGCACCTCCGCCGGGCATTGGTTGTAGAATTGCTCTTTCAGAAATGCTTGGATGATTTCTTCTGTGGTGTGGGCCGGTTCCCCCTCTAGCCACCTCCGACAGGACTGCAACATCTTGTGCGCATACATCTGATAGGACGGCTCCGCAAGGCAGGGCAGGTCACAGAAGCGCACCCGGTGCACTTCTGGCGTTAGTGCATAATACTCAAACACAGTCTGTTTGACCCAGGCATAATCCCGGCCATCCACATAATCCAGAGTGCGGTAGGCCGCAGCTGCACCCCATTCTAGCAGACCCACGAGGTGCCATATCCAATCCGTGCTTGGCACCTCCATGAGCTGGCACTGCTGCTCAAAGTCCTGAAAAACCCCTCCACATCCCCGGTGGCTTTGTTGAAGGGTTTAAAGTCCTTGCGACTGACCCGGGGAGGGGGGTAACCCACGGCCCTGGGGCTGGAAGGGCTACTTATTTTGTGGTGACTTCCTTGGCTCTCTCTTTCATGCGCCCTCCGGATAGCCTCTCGCTTGTCCTCTGCTGTGGCGTCTGACCCCAGGAGGGCCATCTCTTCCTCCACCCGAAGCCAGGGGCTCTTGGGCCCTGGGTCATGGCGTGCTGGGGAGGCTGGGGTTGGCCCGCTCTCCTCCCTTGCTGGGGCGTCCTGGGGATCAGCTTCCTCAATGGCTGCGACCAGATCCTCTTTGGCTAGGCCCCTCCAGGCAAAGGGACTGCTCCTCGGCCCTTTCCTGCAGACATGACACAGTCCACTTCCTGTATTCGCTGGGCCAGGCCCGTTCCCCCATCTGCTGGCTTTTGCTGTCTACCATCTCCTCAGTGTCCTGATCCCACCGCTGCCAACCAGTATGTGACGGAGGGTAGACACTATTACTCTCCTGAAACAGCTCTTGACCACTGTGAAGGAGATTCTGGGGCTACTAGGTTTTCTATGGGAAACACCACTCTAGCATAACCCTAAGTATAGAGAAATGTTTAACTTGGGGGTTTCAGGCTTGGGAGGATACAGGTATCCATTATGTCTCACAACTGTTTGACCAGAAGATAATGAAACCTTTTATAACCTTACAGGAAGAGTTTGCTCTACCTAGACAGCAGTTCTATAGGTACCTTCAACTATGGCATGCTTTGCAAACCCAAAAATTTTATTCCACTTTAATACTTACTGAACACCCATTTTTTCAAGCAATTGTGCTGGAAAACAATAACAAAGGCATGATCTCTTGGATATATTCCATGTTAGTCTTGACTATGCATGATATGGATAGTAATAGGAATGTACATGGTTCAATGGTGGTTCAAGGCCACATATCCCTGACATATCTCCTAACTGTGCAAAACACGTCATTATGGTAACCAGGATTTGTCAGCAGAGCTCCCTGCAATCCATCCTACCTGGTCAATAGACGATGGCCATTGCCGGCTTCCTTGCGGTCCACTAAGGTCAATTCCGGTGTTCGATCCTTAGTGACAGCGGTAAAGATCCCTTCTGCCCTTTGGGGGACGCTTTACGATCCACCACTAAAGAGATCCACACGCCGCCATACCTGGCAGGTTTTGTCCTACATGGTTCTCCACACCTTGGCTTCACTACCTAGGACCTCACGTAGTCGGGACGCCTTATCAGTAAGTCATTCTTAATAATCACCACAAGCAAGGTTAGGAGTTGTTCTGTTGAGTATATGAATGTTTAATAATTTTTACTCCATTGAACTATTAAACTTCTTTTCTTGGTTGGATATGTCAACAGTTTATTAAGGGACCTTGCAATATTAGTGTTGATCATTCCTATTGCTATCTATCTACATAATACTCCTGATGGCTGTTATAGCAGCTGTGGATCTGGTCCTTGTGTTGCATATGCCAGTTTACTTATGGAAAACAACCCCCAAGAGTTTGCTGATTTTTCTTTATGATGTGGTTAAAATACCTTGTAGATGCAAATGGGAAGCAGACCTAGGAGATTCAGGACGTGAGACTTGGGAAATGTGCCTTCAATCTATACCACGTGTTTCACCATTGTACAGACTTTCACAGTTGTTTATGCTACACAAGGCCTACCGTAACAGCTATTTGGATGGGGTAGAAGGTAGTCCCCTCTGTGTCCTAAAGGTTGTAGAGATAAAGGTGACTTAATACATCTGCTGTGGTCACTGCCCAAAACTATTTAGATACTGGAAGGCAGTGACTGACACTATCTCTGCTGTGGCCAAATGGATCCTGTGGTGTGCCTTCTGGGAACGTTGGACAAGGACATTTTTAGCTGTGCACAGACTCTTGTATATTGCTCAAAAGCAAAGCGCCCGCTTTTGGATGTCCTCCTACCTTTAAGCATTGGGTCACCCAGGTCAAGTCCATACTAAGGAGAGCAAAACTGACTTACCTGCATAGAAACACCCACCGAAAATGTTCCTCGATACCAGAGAGCTGGCCCCACATCAATTGATCAAACACAGGCTGCGGCAGATGTAGGAGGTCATGTGAGGTCCAATCTATTTTTCTATGTCACACACTGGCATAGCTCAAGGGTCAACTGTTCATGGTATGGGACTATGCTCCTTTGGCACCCTTTATAAGGATAATTACCGTTCTTTTATCACTGGCTCGATAGATACGGGCTGTACAGGGCCTGTTGTCCACTCGCCATTTTGCACTTATCCTTCTCATGTTTGTTTACCTTCTATTTTGATGATGTTTTCCAAGGTACAGGTTTTATTGTACTGAGTTGCTACCGATTCCACGGTGAATAACTAGTCACACATATGGCATTGGACATATAAATGACACCGATTTAGCAGCGGGATAAACTGTTGATGGGTCTAAGACTCGGTTCACACTTGGGATCCGACTTGTGAGACCCCAATTCTCATGACATGTGAAATCCCAAGTTAGTCAATGGGAGCCGTCTTTATTAGCACTACTGAAGTCGCTCCGACTTTAGAAAAGGATCCTTTACTACTGCTAGGCGACTTATGTGAGTTGTGCCCATAGACGTTAAAGTGATACTAAACCCCGGACCCCGCATTCACTATATCCGCTCTCCCCACACCCCGCATTCACTATATCCCGCTCTCCTCGGACCCCGCATTCACTATATCCGCTCTCCCCGGACCCTGCATTCACTATATCCGCTCTCCCCGGACCCCGCATTCACTATATCCGCTCTCCCCGGACCCCGCATTCACTATATCCGCTCTCCCCGGACCCTGCATTCACTATATCTCCGCTCTCCCCGGACCCCGCATTCACTATATCCGCTCTCCCCGGACCCTGCATTCACTATATCCACTCTCCCCGGACCCCGCATTCACTATATCCCGCTCTCCCCGGACCCTGCATTCACTATATCCGCTCTCCCCGGACCCTGCATTCACTATATCCGCTCTCCCCGGACCCTGCATTCACTATATCCGCTCTCCACGGACCCTGCATCCACTATATCCGCTCTCCCCCCGAACCCTGCATTCATTATATCCTCTCTCCACGGACCCGACATTCACTATATCCGCTCTCCCCGGACCCCGCATTCACTATATCCGCTCTCCCCGGACCCCGCATTAACTATATCTGCTCTCCCCGGACCCCGCATTCACTATATCCGCTCTCCTCGGACCCTGCATTCACTATATCCGCTCTCCCCGGACCCTGCAGTCACTATATCCGCTCTCCACGGACCCCGCATTCACTATATCCGCTCTCCTCGGACCCCGCATTCACTATATAAGCTCTCCTCGGACCCTGCATTCACTACATCCGCTCTCCCCGGACCCCGCATTCACTACATCTGCTCTCTCCCCGGACCCCGCATTCACGACATCCGCTCTCCCCGTACCCCGCATTCACTACATCCGCTCTCCCCGGACCCCGCATTCACTACATCCGCTCTGCTCGGACCCCGCATTCACTACATCCGCTCTCCCCGGACCCCGCATTAACTATATCCGCTCTCCCCGGACCCTGCATTCACTATATCCGCTCTCCCCGGACCCCGCATTCACTATATCCGCTCTCCTCGGACTCCGCATTCACTATATCCGCTCTCCCCGGACCCCGCATTCACTATATCCGTTCTCCTCGGACCCCGCATTCACTATATTCGCTTTCCCCGGACCCCGCATTCACTATATCCGCTCTCCCCGGACCCCACATTCACTATATCCGCTCTCCCCGGACCCTGCAGTCACTATATCCGCTCTCCCCGGACCCCGCATTCACTATATCCGCTCTCCTCTCGGACCCCGCATTCACTATATAAGCTCTCCTCGGACGCCGCATTCACTACATCCGCTCTCCCGGACCCCGCATTCACTACATCGCTCTCCCCGGACCCCGCATTCACTACATCCGCTCTCCCCGGACCCCGCATTCACTACATCCGCTCTCCCCGGACCCCGCATTCACTACATCCGCTCTCCCCGGACCCCGCATTCACTATATCCGCTCTCCTCGGACCCCGCATTCACTATATCCCACTTTCCCCGCAACCCCGCATTCACTATATCCGCTCTCCCTCGGACCCGCATTCACTATATCCGCTCTCCTCGGACCCCGCATTCACTATATCCGCTTCCCCTGGACCCCGCATTCACTATATCCGCTCTCCCCGGACCCCGCATTTCACTATATCCGCTCTCCTCGGACCCCGCATTCACTATATAAGCTCTCCTTGGACCCCGCATTCACTATATCCGCTCTCCTCGGACCCCGCATTCATTATATCCGCTCTCACCGGACCCCCCATTCACTATATCCGCTTTCCCCGGACCCCGCATTCACTATATCCGCTCTCACCACCCCCGGACCCCGCATTCACTATATCTGCTCTTCCCGGACCCCGCATTCACTATATCCGCTCTCCCCGGACCCCGCATTCTCTATATCCGCTCTCCCCAGACCCCACATTCACTACATTCCGCTCTCCCGGACCCCGCATTCTCTATATCCGCTCTCCCCGGAACCCGCATTCACTAATATCCGGCTCTCCCCGGACCCCGCATTCACTATATCCGCTCTCCCCGGACCCCGCATTCACTATATCCGCTCTCCTCGGACCCCGCATTCACTATATCCGCTCTCCCCGGACCCCGCATTCACTATATCCGCTCTCCCCGGACCCCGCATTCACTATATCCGCTCTCCCCGGACCCCGCATTCACTACATCCGCTCTCCCGGACCCCGCATTCACTACATCCGCTCTCCCCGGACCCCGCATTCACTACATCCGCTCTCTCCCCGGACCCCGCATTCACTACATCCGCTCTCCCCGACCCCGCATTCACTACATCCGCTCTGCCGACCCCGCATTCACTACATCCGCTCTCCCCGACCCCGCATTCACTATATCCGCTCACTCCCCGGACCCCGATTCACTATATCCGCTCTCCCCGGACCCCGACCCCGCATTCACTATATACGGCACACACCCGTACCCGCCATCTGACCCTTCTCCCCGGACCCCGGCATTCACTATATCTCGCTTTGCCCCCCCGGACCCCCACATTCACTATATCCGATCAGTCCACGTCTCCGCATTTTCACTAAACCGTTTCCCTCGCGGGACCGCGATCATGTATTAATGATCCCGCTCTTCCCTGACCCCCCCATTCTCACTATATCCGCTCCCCCCGCCTACCTCCTCATTCACTATATTCCGGCTCTTCCCATACCCTGCATTCACTAAATCCGGGCTCGTCCCTTGGACTCCTCTCATGTCACTATGATCTGCCGCTCTCCGCGGTTGACCCTGCGATTCACTATATCAATCAGCTCTCTCTAGACCCCTCATTCACTATATCCCTCACTCGCCCGGGCCCCCCGGCATTCACTATATCCTCTTTTCCCGGACCCCGCATTCACAAATCCGCTTCCCCCACCCCCATTCACTAACCTTCCCGGCCTTAATACCGGTTTCCCCCCCCTTCACTAACCCCCTTTCCCCCCCCCGCCCCCCC